GTGGGCGATGCTGAAATAGTAGTTTCTTGGTGCTTGCTTGCTCATGACTTTACTTGGTATCATTTCTTTTATGTTGAGTTTGTACTTACTCACTCTTTCTTATTTAGAATTGGTTCGATTCGAAATGGCTCTGATGATCTCATGACAAGATCTTCATTCTCTCGGTAGACTTCTGAAGTAACCGGTCCTCTGGTTCAGTTGGCAGTTTTTTCAGAGGTGTTTGTGTGTGTGTGTTCAGATCTTAGTTTTCACGTGTTGATGATCGTTAGTGGATCAGAAAAAGTATTTCTGGTTCCTTCACAATTAGCTTCCGAGTTTGGTGAAAGGGAAAAGAATCTCTCTCCTCCCGCCATCTTTGTTGCTAGCTGTGAGGCAAAGCTGCTGCCAGCTCGTGCTTTCTCTCTCTTTCATGTCTCCGAACCGCGACAGTCCAGTTTAGACCGACTGAAATGACTGTGCCAGTTTTCAGAAGCCCGCTTGGCGGCGGAGAGTTTGGTGGGCCCAACAGATCAGACAACAAACAAACTGGGAGGAGGCGGGTTTTCGTTCAAACCGAAACTGGCTGTGTTCTGTGCATGGAGCTCGATAGGAGTGACAATGCTCACACTGTGAAAAGGAGATTACAGCTGGCGCTCAATTTCCCGATCGAGGAAAGTTCTTTGACTTTTGGTGACATGATCCTTAAAAATGACCTAAGCGCTGTCCGAAATGATTCCCCTCTCCTCCTAACTCGGAATTTGATGCACCGTAGCTCGTCAACTCCTTGCCTGTCCTCTACGGGCCGGGACGTCCAGCTGAAGGAGCTTGGTGGGATGATCGAGATATTGGGCCACTCAACGAGTTTCTCCAAGACCAAGCAGCTCGTGAAAGAGATAGTCAAAGGGGTCAAGAATGGGGTCGACCCGATACCAATCCACAGCGGGCTTGGAGGCGCATACTTTTTTCGAAACGTGAGAGGCGAGAGCGTGACCATCGTGAAGCCCACAGATGAGGAGCCCTTCGCCCCAAACAATCCCAAGGGGTTTATCGGGAAAGCTCTCGGACAGCCGGGCTTGAAACGTTCGGTCAGGGTCGGGGAGACTGGTTTCAGAGAGGTGGCCGTCTTATCTTCTCGATAAATGTAAAAGTGTATTTTGTATTTTTTTTCAGCCTAAAAACTTGAAGTCCGAATGCGTAATCTTTCAACATTAAATAAATTTTCACTTATCCAACTTGATGAGCCAAAATAATAGACTCGTCGAGGTTGTTGGTCGAACTGCCTCATCTCGATTGCGTGGGAGTTCGGCCGTCCCAATCGCCTTCATCCGGATCGACCAGCAAAGCACCGGGGCGGGGCTCCGGCGTAGACACTCCGACGCTCAAGTCAGAAAACAGATATTTGATCGTATATCTTACATAATCTTATAAGCTTAGGATTAAAAAATGAACTAGATCCTTTATTTATAAGGGGTTTAATGACTTACTCTTAAGATATTGAGTTTCCTCAATAAACAAGAACTCTAATACTCCTCAATAATTGTGTAGATATACACCAACTT